GAGGAGGCGACGGCGGCGCCGCTCCATGGCCCCCCGGTCCCCGGGAGATGACGTCACGCCACCCCCTCTCCGACCCCAGGACCCCCGGCCAGGCCGGGTCGCCGGAGGACGACGTCAGCTCACGCGGAAGAGGCTTCAGGCACCTTCCTCTTTTCCGGAAATGAGTGATGACGTTAGGACCCAACCCCCAAACCCCGCTCAAAAATGACATGGGCGTATTGGGGGAGGCTGTAAATGAGCAGGCAAGGAGTTGTCACGTGGGCGCGCTGCCGGGTCAAAGGTTGGGGATGTGCGGCGCAAAGCTGCACTCCGCCATCTTTTTTGTGGGCAGGGCTGGAGCTCACCAGCTGGATGAGGCCATCTTGGATGAGGGCAAGCGCCCTGCCTTTGTCCGCCATCTTTTTTGAGAGCGGGGTGCCTGCTCTCGTGCGCAGCAGCCCTCCCCGGGGCCCGCCGGTCCTTTGACGTCCCCGCCACGCCCAGGAGCAGGGGGCGGGGTTTCGCGTCGCTCTATGATGACGACACGCAGAACTCGCGCCACCGCGGCGGCCTGAGGGGGACGCGGGAGACGCCGGCGGCGGTGAAGGGTCAAAGGTCGCCAGGCGGCGGGGGGCTGACCCCGGGAGTGCAAAGGGCAAAAGTCACGGCCCCCGTAGGGGCCTCCCTCTGGAGGCCTAAAGGTTGCCCAGGGGCGGGGCCTCATGGGTAGGGGCGGGGCCTAGGGTGAAGCTCTTGGGTGGAGCCCGGGAGTGCAATGGGGAGGGGGAGGAGAAAGGGGCGGGGCCTTCCTGCATAGGGGCAATCGGGGGTGCGGCGTAGGCTGTCCATCCCAGAATGCCCTGCGGCCGGGAGGTGGGCTCGAGACGGGTCCCTTTGGGAGGAGGTGTGGGGATTTCCTTCCTGGGGTCAAGGGTTAAGTGGGAAGGGCTTCAGGACGTCACTGAGGCAGGGTAGGTCCTGGGGGCGCCCCTGGGCTAAGGGGGTCTTGGGGTGTCAAAGGTGGGGGGCAGTGGTGGTCCCTTCACCCCTCCCCCCCACGTCCCCAGGTCTCCATGGCAACCGCCGCCCCCCCCCGCCAGCGCCCCCGAGCGGGGGTCC